GCTCGTGTGTGTGAGTGAGAGAGCGAGAAAGAGATAGACAGAGGGGCAGGGTCATTACAGGACCCTAACCCGGGTTGTCGAATTTCCATGGTCTCGAGGAGAGGGAACACTGTTAAATGCCTGCGAAGTATTTTGCTCCTTTGTAACTACAAAGCATTTACTTCGCAATTACAAAGTGATGCTTTGCAATTACGAAGTGACACTTTGCAGTTGCAAAGCGATGCTTTGCAGCGTTTTCATTGCTTCGCAATTGCAAAGCATCACTTTGTAATTGCAAAGTAAATGCTTCGTAGCTACAAAGGAGCAAAATACTTTGCAGCTCTGCAAAGCAAATGCTTTGTAGGAATTTAACAGTGAAAGGCAAGGAGGGGGGGGGGGGCAAAGCCCAGACCGTCGAGCAGGATTCCTTGCTTGACGATGACCCCCGCCCTCCCCCCTCCTCTCTACACACGAGGCAACCCCGTTGGTGTCATTTACAAGTGAAATGCGCGCGAGTGGCCGTTCTGTCGACCTTCTCCTCTTGCAGTACGTACCTTTGGCTCTTGTAAAAGGGGCGCTTGTAAACTCGCGGGGTGCTGAAGTACGTACTTGGTCGTGGCTCGTAGCCGTAGCAACGGCCCAGGCCCCAGGCCAGCCCAGCCAGCCCAGGCCCCGAGGCCGAGATGTTCTCTGTGCTGCCTCTGAGGGGGTTATGCGGGGGTCGCAGTGGCACTACAGTGTGTAGTAGTGCTTCAACTTCAACTTCAATGAGGGTTCATAGGTACATTAGGCATCTCTGCCCGTACGCTTGGTCACCAGAAGCGTTGCTTCTTTTAGCCCCGCGCTCTCTCTAACTAAACTAAAACTAAACCTTTAGTGCCTCTTGAAGGTAAAGCACATTTGTTGTGTGTATATTCATACTGTACTGCATGCACGCGTGTGGGTTGCCTCCTCGCCCGCGGCCGGGAGAAACCACATTAGTTGAACTGGTTCTGTTCAGAGACGTGTTACAATTGGCAAATCCATTTTTTGCCAAAAATCGTCGCAAATTGTCGGTAAAGAGCACTACCAGCACTACGCAATGCTAATCAGCCATGTGAGGTAGGCAAACCCACTCGAACCGGTACTACGTGGACCGAAATACTCGGTATAGATTGGTTTGCAGAAGTGCTACCGAGTAACCGAGCACCACCTCGAGTACTTCTCTGTGGCCCGCAATGTGTCTGTGTGTCGCGTTTTACCCCCGAGTCCAAGTGAGTGACGCTTTTGAGTTTTTGCAAGTTACTACTCATGCTGTTGTAAGAACAGTACGGTCGCTCTGTGGTGCACCTTCTACCTGGCGTGCATGCCTTCCCGCGGGAGAAAGGGTGTGAAATCCTCTCAAAGTTTTATTGAAATTCTTTTCTCCGGGATGCCACCGCTACGAAGCAGCAGCCATCTCGCGGGTTTCATTTTCGCGTCGACGCATCTCTCCTCTGCTCCATTAAATAAAAACTTTTCACATTAGAGGCTTCGGCTTTCGAGCTCAGTGCCATTCGCGATGGTCGCAAAGTGCCCTCTGATGTTGAGCACCTCGCGGGGACATTCGCGACCAGGAGCGCAGTGGATGACGACGTTCCCGGCGAGGTAAAGACGCGGTCGGGAAGACCTCCTCATGGGGTTGTTCGTGGAGCTCTTTGGTACCCGATTCTATCTCCGCGAGGCTTAGGCGTAACATGGTGGCTGTAGCCGGGCTGTAGCCGGGGCGTAGCTCCCGATGAGATGTTCCCCTTTAAGTTTTCATCGTCTGCTGCGCCGTGGAGCCCGCGCCGCCAGCCCGTCCCAGGGCCCGGGCGGCTCCCCCGCCCCACCTCGCCCCG